TGTTTTATATTGTAATCCCTGTGTTTTATATTCTAACCCTTGTGTTTTATATTCTAACCACGGTATTTTATATTCTAACCCCTGTAATTTAAATTCTAACCCTAGTGTTTTATATTGTAACCTTTGTGTTTTATATTCTAACCCTTGTGTTTTATATTCTAACCCTAGTGTTTTTTATTCTAACCCCTGTGTTTTATATTCTATGTCTAGTATTTTATATTGTAACCCTTGTGTTTTATATTCTAACCCTTGTGCTTTTTAATCTAACCCCTGTGTTTTATATTCTAATCCATGCGTTTTTTATTCTAACCCTTGTGTTTTATATTCTAACCCCTGTGTTTTTTTATTCTAACCCTTGTGTTTTATATTCTAATCCATGCGTTTTCTATTCTAACCCTTGTGTTTTATATTCTAACCCTTGTGTTTTATATTCTAACCACCCTTGTGTTTTATATTCTTAAACTTTTTTGTATATACAACACCTTGGGTTACAAATATAAACCACAAATTATTGGACACTTTTCATGCCATAGATGAACACCTGAATTGATGTTTCGATCGCCAAACAAATAGCACCTTGAAGGTGATTTAGCACGTAATTTCTACAAAGAAACATAATAATGAAGAAAATGTCACCGTTCTGTATACGATAAATTTTCATCAACAGGAACGACAAGAGAAAACAACGAAAACAAGTCTGTTAGGCTCCAGATTTTCTCCATTTCTAAGAACATTTGGTTATCTATTTTAAGGCTCCAATTCTTCTAAATTTCTGAGAACATTCAAATTATCATCTTCAGGGATATGATTCGTAGTTAAGAATAAAATATTATCTCCAGGGATATGATTGGTAGTTAAGAATAAATTATTATTTCAGAGATATGATTGGTAGTTAAGAATAAATTATTGTCTTTAAGGATATGATTGATAGTTAATAATAAATTATTGTCTTTAAAGATATGATTGGTAGTTAAGAATAAATTATTGTCTTTAAGGATATGATTGGTAGTTAATAATAAATTATCATTTCAGAGATATGATTGGTAGTTAATAATAAATTATTGTCTTTAAGGATATGATTGGTAGTTAAGAATAAATTATTGTCTTTAAGGATATGATTGGCAGTTAAGAATAAATTATTGTCTTTAAGGATATGATTGGTAGTTAAGAATAAATTATTGTCTTTAAGGATATGATTGGTAGTTAATAATAAATTATTGTCTTTAAGGATATGATTGGCAGTTAAGAAAAAATTATTGTCTTTAAGGATACGATTGGCAGTTAAGAATAAATTATTGTCTTCAGAGATATGATTGGTAGTTAAGAATAAATTATGACGTGAATTACCTTCACTTATGATGGCATGTAAATATGGTTATATTTAAATCGGATTCGGGTATGAGTTGGAGAATAATGTTTTTCATGTAAGACGAGTAATTTTTGTGAAAATACATTGACATAGTTTAGCATACAGCCGAGGACGATATACAATGATCCGTCCAAATCGGCAGTGTCGTCAATGTAAGACATAGGTTTGTATCAAGGTTTAAATACAGTTTTTTATAAGAGTACAGTTTGTAGAAATATTTCTTAACTTAATGAATTATAGTTATACTCAGACATTACAAAACGTACCTTCATTTCTCATTTAGGATTCCGATAGGTTCTTGATCAACATTCTGCATTCTAATATGACACCCTGGGACCTGTATATATCAGTTATACCTTACATCGCTATGAACCACACTACCATGGTAACACCCGCGGCGGTTATAGGTAAACGTAATATAACTTAGTACATATACCCAGGGGTAGTTTCGGCGCGTTCGTATAGACTTTACCACGGTACTGTTTCGGTGTGTTCGTATATACTTTAACAAGGTACTGTTTCGGCATGCTCGTATGGACTGCACTACAGGTACAGTTCTGGTGTGTCCATTTAGACTTTCCCACGGGTACGGTTTCGGAGTGTTCGTATAGACTTTAACACGGGTATAGTTTCGACGTGTTCGTATGGACTGCACCATAGGTACAGTTTTGGCGTGTTCGTATAGACTGTAACACCTGTGCAGTTTTGGCGTGTTGGTATGGACTGCACCACGAGAACAGTTTCGGCGTGTTCGTATGGACTGCACCATAGGTACAGTTTCGGCGTGTTCGTATAGACTGTAACACCTGTGCAGTTTTGGCGTGTTGGTATGGACTGCACCACGGGAACAGTTTCGGAGTGCCTGTATAAATTGTACCACATGTATAGTTTCGGCGTGTTCGTATAGACTGTAACACCTGTGCAGTTTCTGCGTGTTCGTATGGACTGCACCATAGGTACAGTTTTGGCGTGTTCGTATAGACTGCACCACGGGAACAGTTTCGGAGTGCCTGTATAGATTGTACCACATGTATAGTTTCGTATACCGTAAAGGTTTAAATCTGACTGCTCCTTCTCCTTCCGTGATAAATCCTTTCCCTTGGGGAGCATGACTCACGGGTCAAAGATCGCGACTCACGACGCACGAGTCATAGATCGCGACTCTCGACGCACGAGTCATAGATCGCGACTCACGACGCACGGGTTATGGATCGCGACTGGCGACGCACTAGTCATGGATCGCGACTGGCGACGCACGCGTCTTGGTGCAACTGACGACGCACGAGTCATGGAGCGTGACTGACGACGCACAGGTCATGGATCGCGACTCACAACGCACGGATCACCGGGCGTGACTGACGACGCAGGGTCTTGGAGCAACTGACGACGCACGGGTCATAGAGTTTGACTGACGACGCACGGGTCATGGAGTGTGACTGACGACGCAGGGGTCATGGAGCGAGACTGACTATGCACGGGTCATGGAGTGTGACTGACGACGCACGGGTCATGGAGTGTGACTGACGACGCACACTCACGAAAGGAACCTGGTGGTAATAGGTTATCTAACCTAAAAGGTCCGGTTGTTCCAGGGGAGCAAGTAACTTTGCGTTCATTGATGACAACGATGTGATCAAAAGCAGAAACAGGGTACTGGCAACGAAGCAACACGGCACATTTGAAAAATATGCACTCGTCGACCTTTAGATTACATTATTTGCCAAATAACGTAATGGTCATGACCCTTATAGATCTTTATCTTGCCTTTCTATCAAACTCTGTTTCTTACAACACTATAATCTACTGACCCGCAAACGACCTATGGTATCACCTTAAAATAACGATATTTTAAATACAAGTTGTTTAGCATTTTATCTTAATACAGAAATTACACATTAAACCATTGTGGTTTACTCTGTCAGTATTGAATGTGAATCTTGTTAGGAAAGAGTCGATAGTGACTTTGGTTTCCGAGGCAAATAAATACTACTGACATGTTCAATATATGTTCTATGTCTCCGTCAAATTAAATTGGAGGACTTGACGAGGTGTCTTTGAATTATTCGATAAAATAGCGGCTGGTGTTAAAATTAAGTCTAGTCAGCAATGATAGAAAACAATTAAAATAAACGCGAAAACAATTAAAATTTACGCATGTCAAATCGTCACGCACTATAGGTTATGTTCATGTTAAGCGTACTTTAAATCTAAAAACTAATTGAAAATATTGATTTTCAGTTTAGTTGTATGTAATCAGTACAGTTCTCTCCTCCTTACATATTTATGTGTTTGTCATACATCACGTTGTATACTACAAACACCTTGTTGACACAGTCCAGTGACTTTAACACACTTTAAACGTTACCTAAAGCCTGTTTCACATCAGCCGTGTGATCTTTTCGTCGTACGATTTCCGCCGCTAACACAATCGCTACCTATTCGCACCCGTTGCACATACTGCAGATTTGCGAAGCGATCTCCGTACGTTGTTCGCACGGTTGACTCACGAACCGTACGGTATTCGCAGGTTGAACGTACGAAAAAAACAAAGCGACGTGTTCGCACGGCTGTCATGCGGTTATCCTGAGGCTGCCGCACAAATTCTCAAGGTACCCGCAAGACTGCCGTAAGAATTTGCAAAGTTTCTTACGTCCACAGCACGGCAAGCACGAATTTGCAAGACAGCTGTACGGTGTTCGTGCGATCGCCATTAGGAGGAGGAATTATCTCCTCTTGTCCAGATTTGGATATATATACACAATGGTATGCGACAACAGTCTCATTCTGCAGCAGGTCTTTGAGGGAGTTAACTATGGTTGCGAAACCATCCAATGATCCCGATGTGAGCATAAATAAAAATGAATACATTATACCAAGGATTATATCACATTTTGGATATCATTGTGGAAAAAATGAGACGAAAAAAATCGATACATATCTAGTACAGCTACTTATTTTGCGTAAAATTATCTAGATACATTCGAACATGAAATCAACGTAGACACAGTTTACACATGGTCGATCTGCTTTTCCATGATGCCAAACTTACTATGACAAGATTATATTAATATTGAGGTAAAAGATAGCATAATAAATGTAAATTACAAGCTTATCGGGCACATTCATTTGTGCAGCTATGATTTCTAGTTGCTTGTCGGCGTATCTCCGATGACTTTATTGGTACAACTCTGGATGTTCGCTAAACCACTGCACAATTGTATTCTCTTGCTGTGAAGTAAAGGCATATTTGTCACTCCTGTACAAGCACAAGCCTTCTTTATCTGAATCCTGGGTTGGTGGTACCTCTGTTGTCTCGGGTTCAATGGGGGGTCAGCAACCGGAACCTTCCCCTTTCCCTTCTGAGATTTTTGTTTTGGGGGCATGACCTTCTCTTCCTGAAATCTCGAAAGCGACTGAGGACAAACAAGACAAACTTTTTAAAAGTGGAGGAATGACGTTAACTTTTGCAAGGCATTAGTGGGGCAGCCGTGCGAATCTATACGCTGTTCGTACGTTCCTCAGCAGTCTTTAAACAGACTTTCACCAAATGCAAGGCATTCGCAAGTCAGCCGCAAGATGTTCGTACGATCACCTTGCAGCCTTCGCAGGACAAACGCAAGTATAAAATCAAATGATTGACGTGCGATGGTCTCAAGGTAACCGTACGGCTACCGTGTGGCAACCGTACAGTTGCCGTGCGAACTCCAAAAATCGCAAAGAAATCGCAAAGAAAATGAGCATGTTGAAAAGCCAGCTTGCGACGTCTGCGGCGTTGAGAATTTGTACGGAAGTCTTGCGGAGTCCGCACGAAGTCCTGCGATTTGTCAAAATGTTCCCGTACGGCTGTCGTAAGGCTGATGTGAAACAGGCTTAATCAAGCTATAAACATTTGTTATAGACACCGTCGATCCACACCAGTAGACAAATAACTTACAGTTGTGTTGAACTAAATTATGCATATAGAAACAGCTTTTGCATTTTGGTTATAATTTTCCTGCTTGTTCAGCTGGTGCCTTGAGACTGTATAATGTTAACGGTGTTAATCATTCTGTGACATTCATGTTCTTACTTTTTAATGCAATCCCAAAACTGCAGAAAAATGCTCTTTATCTAATTATGGTGACAAATTAGGAAGTCGAGTTCAAAGATCCATGGTTACCAACTTGTAAATATTTAATATCTACAAATCCTCTTAAATATACAGGGAGACATCGAGTTTACCAAAGTAGAATTTCTGGGATACATCGAGTGTTTCTAAATGGTACGAAGGATTTTAACTCAATTATTTTTTTATTGTATACTTTAATTCCACTATAGAAATGTTCTATATAGAATATCGTACTCTTTTATCATTAACCCTGTTGAATTTGATGATATTGATCCTAATGTTTAAAAACTATTTATACTCTAATTCATTCCGTTGTAAAAGAACTCCTCGTCTTATAAATTTATCATTATAGCATGTCTGTTTATTTTTACTGTATTTTACTTGGGTGGGGATGTTTCTGTTTTGCGTTATTTATTCGAATTTTTTAAAAATTATTATTTGTTTTATTTTTCGATTTGATTCCGTGCTTTATAGAAGCGACGAATGCGCTGGGATAAAGTCACTGTTCTAGTCCAGTTGATGGTTGGGCTATTTTTTCAAGGTACGTACTTCAACATTACGAGGAGCGAACTTTTTAAAATGTATATGCTGTGTCAATAGTACTGTAAAACCATACATTTTCCGGAGGCTTATTACATACAATATCAGGTATTAACGGAGAGTCCACTGGTCTCATGTCCCATTTTACATTGTCTGACAGACGGCAAGTTTGTTTTTGGAGACCAAGCAATATGGTTTGGTGGTGGCGGTGTTTTTTTCTAGACTATAAACATTCCTTTGTATCCTGTTGACCTGTCATCGAATATTTCTTTCGAAAACAAATGAAAACCCCAACAAAATGTGCCTAATCTATGATATCGATGGTCGCTAATCCGGACAGGCGTATATTTAGTAACATCTAGATATTTTCTTGCGCTTTTCCATATTCAAACATATTGCAGGTGCAAATGTTGGTCGCTTCCCAGAAAACAACGTAAAAACATTCAGCTGAAGGTGTCTATAAACAGGGTTTATAATTAGGAAGAGGCCCATCGCTACACACTGGCATCACCATCGCTACATGCTGGCATCACCATCGCTACATACTTGCATCACCATGCTCTACTGTATGATACAATTTCACTATAGCATTGTTAGGTTCAAGGAAACGCTTGTAGAAAAAAGGATTGTACCTATCGGAATATTTAAAAAAGAAACCAAATTGGACATCTTAGATAGAATTAAATAGTTGTTATAGAATGTGCCCACTTTTCAAAACGTCCAGTAAAACATATACATGGATACGTCATCACATTAATTTGCGTGCACCTGCAATCTATTTACGTAAATTTGGCGATCGAAACAGATTCTCGAAGTTGTTTGATATTATCGCTCCGTGAACGGTCAAGGTCATTTAGAGGCGGTGTCTTCTTGCAGCAGTTGGTTTACACCTCACTAAACAAAATACGGGAGGCACATCGCATGTCACCTAATTCACTTTTGGTAAAGTTTCTTGTCCTTGGTCAGTTTCTCAGCTTCCCGAGAAACACAAACACCTCGGGTAGGAGACGTTGGACAACGAACGCCGGATTTCCGTCTGATGTTACGAAAGCTAACGGTGTGATCGACTGAATTACCCAACCCCTCCAAAGTTAATGTCTCTAATAAAATAGGGGACAGTAAAAATCAAGTATGTAGTGTAGAACAATACGTTATTGTTCACAAAAATTAATTGACGCGAGAATGTTGACGGCGATCAGAAAATCGCGAATGTTAATACGATAAAATAAATGGTTGAAAGTATTATGTCTTCATCCTTCAATATTTAATTATTTCATATTTATTTTAATTTGTTTGTTTGTTTTACCTTACAGGTGTGCAATCCAACCCCGACATTAAACGATACGAACTGCTGACAATAAACGAGAATATTGACAAAACGACCAAGACTTTAACAATAGGAAGTAAGCCTAGTGTAATCGCCTGTATCCTACATTGTGAAACCGTATCTAACTGTAGGTATTTATTCTACAGTAATGACACTAAGGAATGCGATACAATTATCCAGCAAACTGTGGCGGTGTAAGTACGCAACTGAAGAAATGTGGTATAATTTTCTCTTGTTTTCTGAAGGATGTGAGTTTAGTGATAAACAGGTTCTTACACTTGTGGTCATAGCACAAGGAAATTATTTAACCGGATTAATTAATTTGCCAAATATATTTATTGAAGGTTTTCAATTTTCGTCTTTTTCGAAGGCTATAACAAAATCCTTCTTGGCTGATTGTAATTCAAATAAAATTAGAAAGTAGGATAAAATACTGTAAAGCCACACAACGAATCACGGTCATTTCAATCCTCTAGGTTTCGTTCCTTATTCCTAGATTAACAATACCTGGAAGGCAATCGAGAAAAAAATCAAAACTGATTAAAATAAAAAAAAATATAGACAGAGGGATGATGCACTCTCTACCTTATAGAAAATCCAATTGTGAGAAGTATTATCAGCAATTATTAAATACACCAATTTCTCTTCAAGCGATTGATTAAATCTCAAAATTTAGACCATTCGGAGAAAAGCATTCCCTCTCATAGTGGTGTCCATCATACGGTAACTTAAACGACCAGGTAGACAAATTTTATTTCATAATATTACAAAATAAATATTCTGTGTCGAAATACGAGATCAAGAGGCGATAAGAAAACCATTCTATATGTTTTCGTAATGTGTAACGGTCTCCTTGCTTTTATTTTACTGTCTTGTCCCAGACAATTTAAAAAAAAAATTTCAGTGGCCTGTCCGAGATCCGATTACATTTATGATGACACCACAGGAAGGTGTCACAAGAAGCATGATGACGCTATGACCTGGGATAAGGCCAGTGACACGTGCTCAGAGGACGGGGGGCACCTGTTGACACTTGACACAGCGGCCGAGTACAACATCATCCTACTCCTAGGTAATGTAATAGAATTCTATCGATCGGCCACGAAATTAAAAATAACTTGGGCCACATATGACTTAATGTGACGTAATACGTGTTGATAAACTAATCAAATCAAAATTTAGGTTATGAATATTTTTCTTTATTAAATATACCCATAGTAATCTGATTCCACGACTCTAACATGTCGTTCACCTCATTGATACAGGATTGTCACAGGAGCTGTGGATAGGAGCGACAGACAAAGCTGTTGAGGGAGAGTTCCGCTGGTTGGTCTCTGGAGATATTTTACCACAAACTACACCATGGAACACGAACCAGCCTGACGGTGGAGATTCTGAGCAATGTGTCACTGCTTTTGTCAAAACCATCATAGCAAGAAAAGCTGCACCAACTATCTCATCAGAAGTAAAGTTAAATGACGCAGCGTGCACGAAGATTTTAGAATTTATCTGTGAGTTGTGACGGAAACACGGGGAAGCTGCCGAACTCGAAAGTCAGAATGCATAATTCTTATCCTGCTTTAAAATGTCTTCTTCGACACTCCTCTGGATACAATCTATTTGGATATGATGTAATATGTACAACCGAAATGTGTCGACAGTCCTTTAACAGGTCTGTGCTGTCCTGATTGGCTCTTGATAACTTGTGATGGACCTTCCATATGTGGTTCAGTGATTTAGCATATGACGCTATTGAGGACATACCGCGTCGCGTATGCGCGGATTTCTTGTTCCGTGTGAACTATTTTTAATCAAGATTATATAACGGTATTTGAGAAAAATACTTATCTATCACAGCTTTTTCTGCGGGATACCCATGGGTTACGTCCCCTTAGTTCTAATGGTAGAATGGGACCAGTTATGGTTGAATGATTGTATCAAACTGAGTAGGTACCGTTTTACTCGGAGACCCGTGCAGCCATAGTTATATAGCTTTATATTATAGACTACACAGAGGTGACATCTCTACTAGTCCGTAATAATACGGTACTTAACATGTTAGACTTCTTTCGAATTTGAATCCGTGGTAACATAAATATCCATGTTTAAAATCACAAACAAAAAGAACCACCTTCAAATATTATTTTAAAAATCAGTGTGTTACAATTCATTGTAACAGTATTTGTTAAATAAAACATATGGTATACATGGTATATGATGATATACATTTTTCATGTGACTACATTATTTTTTGCTATGTTATCGAATCTATACTTGAACTAAGATTTTTTTTTCAAATATCATTCAATTCCTTTATTCTGTAGCTATACGTGCACGATAGTGTATGATTATCACGTGTTTACATTGTTCCGTACAAAACTATACCTACATGGTTTATGATGATATTCATTTTTCATGTGACTACAGTATTTTTGCTATGTTATCGAATCTATACTTGAACTAAGATGTTTTTCAACTATCCCTCAACTCCTTTATTCTGTAGCTACACCTGCATGATGGTGTATGCTTATCACGTGATTACATTGTTCCGTACATAAATATACCTATATGGGTATATGTTCATCATGTGATCACATTACTCTGTCTTCACATGTGTTCTTGTTTGATGGTAGATATTTATTATAAGATTACATAATTCCGTCTCATGATCTTCACTAGTACATAAACTTGACAAAGCGTACGATTCTTCTCAATCTGTTAAGCGTCAACATTATTCTGTAATTTGATTTCCAATGGCACATATTATTTACGTAATTATTGCATTTATACTGTACTTGTAATATGGTATGCAGTATATCTATCACGTGACTTCTGACGTGCTTTTGATATATACATAGACGTGATACTGCATGTATACTCGAGACGCGATGGTTTATTGTTACCACGGGTTTACATTAGTTTACAATGTGAAATAATCATGCTAGTCATGTGACCATATTATCCTGTACCTTTACTCGGATATTGGTATACATTTTTCACTGATTAAACAATTCAGTTTGTCTTATCGATATTGACACATACATAGATGTGAGAATCTTTAACTGGGTATTGCTACCACGAGGTTTACATGATCATATACTTATGTACCCTTACTTGTATAATGGTACGTATTTATCACGTAATTACCTTATCCTACTTGTGATAGCCATCAAAACGCTTCTCTACCTGATGTACGATGGTGATTCTGGTATATCATGATTGATTCACTTTATTACATTAGTTTGTCTTACAATCTCTACATATAATATATATATATCTATCATGTGATCACATTATTTTGTACCTATGCATGACCAGATATATACATGTTTCTAAAGCATTATTACATTATACTGTCCTGTGATATCGACACATTCAGAGACGTGAAAAAAATACGATGGTAAATACATATCACATGATTATATTATTCGAAACTGATATACGTCTGATGTTATATTTTGACATATATAGATGTAATAAATGTATCTAGAATTTAAATACGAAGGTATACATTAATCGTGTGATCACATTATTCTGTCTTATGTAATGGCATATACAATGGCGTGATGAATGTAGTTATGACGGTATTTATGGTACACCATAATGTACTCATCTACTCATGTCAGTATTGTAGCGTTACCTTATCATAATTGTATATACTTACATTTATATATATATATATTTTCCTATTGTATGTCATCCTTCTCTCGTGCACCTGTATCCCCCCATGTCTCATGATGGAATCTTTGTCCATCATTTATGTACATAGTATTATCTCGTTATTCTCCTCATCCCTATCTCCTCTCTTTCTGCACAATTACCTCCCCTGTCTCGTATTTCGCATGGAAACTGTTGAGCTTATGTCCTCCAATATTACCGATCGCGTCGTTTGCATCATTTCTTACTCTATCCCGACACTAAACACACTTTTATTCCTCTTAGGATCCTCATCCGTAACCTGAATGCCTATCTGTCATAGTCTTTATTGTGTCCGGATAGGTCTCTTTGACAATCGCGTATATCTCGCCTACTCCCGATCGTGTTATTATACTTACCTAACCAGGTCTCAACTTGTTGACATGTTACTTCTCTTATGTATGTTACAAGCTTTACGCTTTATAATCAACACACTACAAGTCTTAAGTAAATTGAAACATGATTTCTACCAAAGTTTCAATCGTGCGTCAAAAGTATTGACGAGTGTCTTATCCTCTTCGTCCAACCTTTGTATATATTTATTACTTCTTCAACTCTTGCTCCTTCTCTGTGGCGATATTGAATGCAATCCCGGACCACGAGATTATGAGTCTGACTTAGCATCATTTTCTTCGTGTTCCTCTAATTTTTCAACATTGCTCAACGAAGCCAAGCACACTTTTGTTCACCTTAATGTTCAGAGTATAAAGCAGAAATACGATATTCTATTTAGTGAATTATATAACCTTGATATCCTATCTTTTACTGAAACTTGGCTCAGTCCTGACGAAACTACATCAGATTCAGACTTTCCTGGTTTTTCTCCCCCTTATTGCTACTGTAGACCAGATAGACAAGGAGGAGGAGTGTCTGTATATGTTAGCAACAACTTATCTTCAAAGCGTAGGTCTGACCTTGAAATACCCACAGTTGAGTGCGTATGGGTGCAAATAAGTATATCTGGCAAATCAATTTTATACGGAACGTTTTATAGACCTCCTAATGCACCTGTCTCCTGTTGGGATTATATTGCCCACTCCATTGAACTCGCTTTCAACACTGGAATTCCTAACATTATACTTACTGGCGATTTCAACGCCAACCTGTTAAGTGAAAATAGTCACTCCATGCACCTACGCAACCTATTAAGTACTTTCGATCTTTCACAGAGCATCGCCAGTCCAACCTTCTACACAGAATCCTCTTCCTCCCTCCTTGATATAGTATGTGCAAATGACCCATCTTTAATCAGTAGCTGTCATGTTGGTGATAGTTTTCTCGATCAGCCCTTGAGATATCACTGTCCTACTTTTGGTAGCATTAATATATCTAAACCTACCCAACCATGTTTCAAACGTAGTATTTGGCTATACGATCATGGTAATTACGACGACTATAGAGACAGACTTTCTCGAATCGACTGGGACTCTATCATAGACGGTAGTGACATAGATCGAAGCACTGACCGACTTACTGACATACTTAATACAGCCAAATTATGTATACCGTTCAACACTATAACTGTTCGAAATAACTCTCCTGCATGGTTAACTAATACTGTTAGGAAAATGATGCGTAAAAGGAAATACTTACATCGTAAGGCTAAGCAATCTGGAAAAGTTGATGATTGGGCTAAATTTAGAAAAATTAGAAATCTTTGTGTTAATGCTATTCGCCAATCCAAATGTAATTACTTCAACAAACTTTACAATAAATTACATAACAGTACGAATACTAGTGCAAAGGATTGGTGGAAAATCGTTAATAGCTTCACGTCTAACTCTTCTAAAAAAAGACGATTCCTCCTCTTTCTGTAAATAATAAGATTTTAGACGACGATCTCGATAAAGCTAATGCTTTTAACACTTTCTTTTCTTCTCAATCTACTATCGACGATACTAATACCCACCCCCCTGACTTACCTCAATCTCTTCACAATCTCAATGACATAGTTATATCCCGACAAGACGTTCTTGACGCGATACACTCTCTTAACACTAGAAAGGCGGCTGGACCCGACATGATTAATCCTCGAATGATCAAGGAAGCCGCTGACATCCTAAGTTACCCATTACAATTATTATTTAATTGCTCTCTCGTTTCTTGTACCTTTCCATTTTCGTGGAAAAAGGCTCATGTTACGCCAGTTTTCAAAAAAGAAGACCCCTCAATTATTAGTAACTATCGTCCGATTTCTCTGCTGTCTATTGTTGGCAAGCTGATGGAAAGATGTGTCTATAAACATGTCTATAACTTTCTCATAGATAAATCTCTTCTAACACCCTACCAATCCGGCTTTAGATCTGGCGATTCCACTATTAATCAACTTTTAACTATTACTCATGACATTTTTTCAATCTTGACAAAGGTGTTGAAATAAGATTGGTAGTCTGTGACATAAGTAAAGCATTTGACCGGGTCTGGCACCGAGGTCTTCTATCCAAATTAAAATCTTTTGGTATAACTGGAAATCTCTTTACTTGGTTCTCGAATTATTTGCATAATCGTTGTCAATGTGTCGTAATCAATGGTAGACAATCCCATTTAACCAATATTTCAGCAGGTGTCCCCCAAGGATCGATCCTAGGTCCGTTACTTTTCTTAATCTTTTTAACGACATTGTTTGTAATATAAATTGCAATATTAAGTTGTTTGCTGACGATACATCTCTATATGTCATCGTAGAATCACCGCAAACGAGCGCTAACTTGTTAAATAATAACCTTAGTATAATCAATGAATGGTCTAACACTTGGCTTGTTAATTTTAACCCCTCTAAAACCGTAACAATGACAGTAAGTAAAAAAGCTAATAAACCGCTTCAAC